TCACCACCCATTTATCCCTCTGCCTTTCAATTAGCCCCACATGATTATCGGCTAGGTTGGCACAATTAACTAACTCAGACAGAAAAAATTTAATACTAAAAAAAAGAAATGAAAGGAGACAATTGTCAACCCAGAGTCACAAACTAGGGTAAATTAAAGCTATTTTATTCACCACAAGTGAATCCTACAGAGGATGCTAAAGGAAGTTCTTTAGGTTGAAGATATGCAGTAATACTAGGTGGAAACTAACATCTCTCGGAAGCAGTTCAGAGGATCTTAAATGGTACATTTGGGGGCTTTATATAAAAAAAGCTACCTTCAGTCATTGGTCAGTTTGCCATATTGTGTTTTGCATATTGCTATGCCGGAAGCAATCCCAGCAGGATTTAAAATAGCAGCAGCAGCACCCATGGTGAAGAGGTTTCAGGGCAACTTCCACACTAAAACACGAAATGAGGACCTGATTATCTAATTCTAAAAATATTGAGCCAATAGTATTAAATAAGGGAAAAGACCAAGCTACACTGAAAGCAATGGTGAAAAGACTCCAGGAATTGCTAAAACGCTAATTGACATGTTTCAACAAAAGGATACAATGCTACTTATCTACTCCAAGAAATTTAGAAAACTACCTGGCCAGTCAACTAATTGACCCAAAGAGACCCAAATTTGTGTCCATTTCAAAAGAAAGATGATCCAGCAGAATGGGGAAGTCATTGTTATTACATACAAGTAAAATTTTGCTGAAGGTAATGCAAAAGTGTTTGCTGCAGTACATTCACAGAGAACTGCCTGAAGTTCCATCTGGTCTCAGAAGAGGGTGTGGAGCAAGGGATATATGACTATTGAGATGGGCTGGATCTTGGCTTGAAAGCCTAGGGTTCCAGAAAGAATTCTGCCGTGTGGATTGCAATAGATTATGGAAAACATTTGTTATCTTCACATTGTGAAGAGTAAGATTTTCAGAACACTCCATTGTGCTCATGCAGAACCTGGACATAAAGAGGCAGTTGTTCAAATTGAACATGGGGGATTAAAGTTCATGGTTTAAAATCAGAAAAGGTATGCACTTAGGTTGTATCCTTTCATGGTACTTGTTAACTCTGTATGCTGAGCAGATGGTTCAAGAAGCTAGACTATATGAAGAACAGCACATCACCAGGATTGGAGGAATACTCATTAACAATATGCCACGTCACAGCTTTGCTTTAAAGGGAGAACAATTCAATGCACTGTTGAATGATGAAGATCAAAACCTTCAGCCTTAAGTATGGCTTACACTTCAACATAAAGAATACAAAAACTCTTACAACAGGGCCAGTAAGCAGTATGATTGAGGCTGTCAAGAATGTCATCATACATGGATCCACAATCAACGCCCGTGGGAGTAGCGATTGAGATCAAACCGTGTATTGCATTAGGCATAATCTGCTGCAGAAGACTTCATGAAAGGGTTAAGAAGCACAGATATTACTTTGAGGATTAAGAAGTGTCTGATACAAGCTATGGTATTTTCAGTCACCTCATATGCATGTGTGTTAGTCTAGGTAGACCAGAGAAACAAATTCATAGACACTCGTGTATACGAAAGAGCTTTATATACAAGAGCAATTGAATATTGAGAAAACAGCTCAGCCCAGATCAAGTCCATAAGTCCGATATTAGCCCATATGTCTGATACCAATCTATAAATTCCTCTTCAGACCCACAAAATACATGTAACGATGCCGAATGCAGGACGATCACAGGCCAGTGGGTTGAAAGTCTTGTGGGTCCAGTGGCAGTAGACACATCTAGCACTGGTGTGGGTCTCCACATGCCTCCTTTAGCTCCAGGGCTCTGGCGGCATCAGTGTAGCTTCATCAGGCTCTTTTTCAGTAATGTCTCACAGGGAGTGAGTGTGTATCCCACCTCCAATGAGCTGTTTATCTCCTTAGCACCTCTAAATGAGATCGTCAAGCTGCAACCTGATTGACAGGCTAGATTCCACCCCTCCACAAGATGACACCACATTATATAACTACCACAGCATGTAAAAGCTGGATAATGAATTAGATCCAAGAACCGATACCTTTGGGTTATGATGTTTGGGAAGAATATTAAATATAGCATGGACTGCAAGGTCAGCAGTTCAAAAACCCCAGCCGCTCCTAGGGAAAGGATGGGGCTTTCTACTCCTGTAAAGAGTTACAGTCTTGAAAACTCATCGTCACGTTTACATTCAACAATCTGTACTCATTTTGTTTCAATTCGTCTATTTCAGTCCCATCAATGTCCTACACGTACCCACCCTCAATGTCTCCTGTCTCCATTCCTCTTCTTTCTAGCCCTCGTCTGCCCTTGGGCAAATGCTGTCCTGTGATGCAAGGTGGTTGAGTACTCTCTCAAGCGGTCAGGTGAGGGGGGGTGTTAGAGTTTCAGTTCCAGATCTTCAGGGTGACTTCCTTAGGGTTTAGGAAAGTCCAACTCCACGCCAGTCCCGGGCCAATTGCCCCATACTCTTAAAAAACGCCAAACTTGGCTCAATTCCTAATCATAGAAACAGAATAGAACTGCCCCTGTGGGTTTCAATAGCTGGACAGCCTAGAGGAGTAGAAAACCGTGTCTTTCGCCCATGGAACAGCTAGTAGTTTTGAACTGCTGACTTTGCAGTTAGCAGTTCAACATGTAACCCACTACACCGCCAAGAACTGCCAATACTTAAGTCCCTCAAATCTGCCCCTACCCCTTCATCGATGACCTCCACAATTCTAAGTTCCACATCTAGGTCCTTGACCCTTCCCAAGCTCATGGGCTCCTCCCCACTCCTCTGCAAATGGATGTCCAGTTTTGTCAGCACTACTTGCCAAAGATACTGTCTCTTCCCTATTCAATGTACCTGGTCCCCTGTCAAAGATCCACTGTTTATTGGTAGATGGATCCATTCTTGGACTTTGAACTCTGTTCCATCTGCCCATGTACCCATGGCTGCATCAGTACCAAGCTGTTGTGACCACCATGGCTGTGTAGGTTCTGAGATCCAGACGTGAGAGGCCTCTACTTTGCTCTTCCTCCCTAACACTGCCCATCTATCTATCTCGCCCCGTCCCCCCGAATTCCCAACCGGCCCCCCACCCTAAAGTTGGGGAGTATTAGCTTTCCCACTTCCTCAAAGAATGCCATTGGACTCTAGCTCGGGACTGTACCACATCTATAGGACTGCCCTGGTAGCAATGATACTCTCACAATGCCAAGCTTTCAAATCCATGAGCATAGCACCCACTATTTTTTTTTATAACATTTTTATTAGGGGCTCATACAACTGTTATCCCAATCCATACACACATCAATTGTGTAAAGCGCATTTGTACATCGTTTCTCAAAACATTTTCTCTCCATTGAAACCCCCAACATTAGGTCCTCATTTTTCCCCTCCCTCCCCGCTCCCCCCTCCCGCATGAGCCCCTGATAGTTTATAAATGGGTATTTTGTCATATCTTGCCCTGTCCGACGTCTCCCTTCATCCACTTTTCGGTTGTCTGTCCCCCAGGGAGGAGGTCACACACAGTTCCATGTAATCGGTTCCCTCCTTCCTACCCATTCTCCCTTTACCCTCCCTGTTTCGCCACTCACACCACTGGTCCTATAGGGCTCATCTGTCCCGGATTCCCTGTATTTCCAGTTCCCATCTATACCAGTAGCACCCACTATTTTATCATGCAGGTCCCTCTGGTTTCCTGCAACGGTGTCTGCCGTTCTCCTTGCACACATTGCCCCTTCTCTCTGGGGATGGTTATACCCATTCCCAAGTATCCCATCCTTTGAGGGGCAACTGTAAATGGTTTTGTCTTTTTGATTTCCCTTTCAGAACTCTCCCGGTTAACATAAAGGAATCCAGCTTGCATGTTGACCTTATATACCCTTCCACTTTGACAAATCTTTCCATTAATTCTTTGAGATTTTCTATTTGTAAGATCCTATCATTTGCAAGTAGAGAGAGTTTCACTTCTCTACCCATTTGGATGCCCTGTAGCTCTAGCTAAGACATAACATACCAGTGCATCTGGATTGCATGTTTGATCATTTTCAGATGGAAGAGGTTGTCAAAATACTAATTTTCTTCATCTTTGTCATTAGTGGTGGTTGTGTAAATCTGAAGAGTTTCATGAACTGACCCTCCTTGTAGGTGGAGTGGGGGGGGGGTACTGTCCTATCACTGACATTGGGGCACTTCTAGAGAGATCCAGCAAGGGGTTTCATACAGTAAAAGTGATGCCATTCTTCTCCAACTCATCTTCTTCATCCCAGCATAGTAGACTAGATCATTATCTAATTCAAAACTGCCAATACCAGTCCAGTTTAACTCACTAGTGCCTAGCATATTGATCATTATGTGTTCTATTTCATTTTTGACAGCCTCCAATTTTCCTAGATTCGTGCTTTGTTCATTACATTCTCTGTTCATTCATGAAAGTCTGCTAGAGTTTCTTCTCGTTTTGAGTTGTGCCACTTCAGCAAGCGAAGGTGCCGGAAGCTCTGCTCTACTCATGTCAGTAAAGTCAGCTCCACTTTGAGGAGGCAACTCTTCCCCAGTTTGTGCTTCCAACCTAAGTTGCTCACCTAGGGCACTAACCCAGGCAATGTCCTGCTGCAATGCATAAGGTTTTCGACGGCCACTTTTCTCAGGAGTAGATCACCAGACCCTCATCCCTCCTCTGTCTCAGGCCGGAAGCTCCACTGTAACCTGTCCACCCACCATAGATGGCCCTCTGGGTATTTGAAATACTGGAGGCACAGCGCCCAGCATCATAGCAACACACAGCCTCCGTAGAATGACAACCAGGCTAAAGACTGGTGGTGTAAGAAGATAGTGATCATTTGATTTAAAAGATACTTGTTCATTAAAATGTTGTGGTGAAAAACATAAAATTAAATTAAATGTCGTGGGGGTGATTATTTAAAAATTCAGGATTAAACATTTATATTTGGCTTTTCTTTTCCCATTGTAAAATTCACAATAGGAATCCAAGAACATTTTGGACCACCACAGGGATGTTTCCCCAGGAGTTCATTATTTGCTTTCACAAGCACGTGAGGATTGAAAAGCTTACAATACAAAGCTACTTTGGTAAGAAACCATATATTAATTTTCATCATATTTTAGGCAGAGAGCTTATCTGTAAACTTTTGGCAAAACACTGGTGTTTCTTTACAGCCTGGAGACCAGTTTTCATGCTGGAGTTGAGGTTAGGGAATATGGATTAAGGGCTTTAAGCACAGTTAGCCACAGAAACTGCACATTTGAAACTCTTCCAAAGTATATAATAATTTCCTCACAGTTTACTATGTGAAAAAGTCTGTGGTCAATGACTTGATTATGAGCATCAGGAGCCCACTTTCCGGAACACTAGATTCCATGATCTCTCGATTCCAGAGCCATTTGGTCTGGGATGCCCTGTCAAGTTGTGCCTGGAAATCTGATCACTTGGATTATTCACGTTAGATAGCTTTGATTCTCCTTTTACTAATGGCATTTTCTAAAGGACTAGGAGAAGAATCTACCATCCAAATATCATTGTAATGATGTCTTATGCTTACTTAAGGAGAAAGTATACCAGACAAAATCCCCTCAGGAAACAAAATACATCCTAGATGGCTCTAATTGTAACGAGGGGACTACTCACAAAATGGGGGTGGGGTGGGTGGGTTAAGGGAACCAACACAGGATGGTGAGACACCCTGAAGCTGACCCAGTAGGAAACCATTACTTAACAGCCCTGGGACCAGGGAAGGAAATGATGTTCCTAGAGACCAGTGAGATTCAGAGAGTGTGGTGCCGGGCCTGCCCAGCAGGAGCTGTCGTTAAGAGGGGACATAACCACTGTCAGGCTTGCACTGAAACAGAGAGGGAGAAGAGTAAAAACTTCCCACTGCCCTCCAGTCTCCTCCCAGTGCCTCCCATTGGCCAGGAGCCAACAGACAAGTGAACCCAGATGACATAGTCCGCAGGGGTCTGCCTGCCAGGGTGCAGAATAAGACAGATGGGGACTTAAGGTGGCAGGGGCAATGGAGACATACCAGTATAAATGAAGATGACCGCATTCCTAGTTTACTAATTATTGTAGAAACTTTCCAGTCAGGTAGACTCTGTGAATTTCACTCTAAGCGTTTACTAACTGTATGTTATTCAACAAGTGGGCCTGACTTTCCTAAGCCTGTTTCCTCATCAGGAAAATTAGCTCAAAATATCTCTCTAATAAGATTGTTGTTGAGTTAATGAATAAATATGCCTCATTCATAGTAGGTTCTTCATAGTGGTTTATGACCAGGACTGTTGGTATTACTGCTGTTATTACCAGTATACAATAATCTAGGTGGTACCAGATTCAACAAGGCTCTGTTATGTCTCTGTTGTATGGTTGCACACATTTGTAAGATTACAATCACACAAGACTGCATTTACCAAAAAGCACAGGACAAGTGAGTCATTTCCCGAATGTAGCTTCCCTGATCCCAGAATTGTGTAGTCCCACCAGCACAGACGAGTTTCAAGGACATGAACAAGGAATCTCGTAGACAATTAACACCTCATTTACATTGTTTAATTGCAATGTCAGTGCGCACCCTGAGGATTGAAAAGAGCACGTCGAAGGAACCAGCTGACTTTGAGCCGTGGATTGAAAGAGGTGAGTGCTTCCCTGCATTGTTTTGAACGTGACGGAGCAGAGACTTGTCCTTTGACTCTGCATTTCCAGTTAGCCTGTATTTTAGTGTGTGGGGGGTGGGGGATGGGAGAATGGATGATCCTGGTAACAGGTTGCTTGTGTCAGTTACTGTGGGATGGAGGCCCACTCAGGGTAACCGGTGTGTGCGGTACAGAACTGCTCCACTGGGTTGTCATGGCTGTGGCATTTCAGGAGCAGCTGGCTAGCCCTTTTCCAAGGCTCTTCTGGATTGGTTCACAGCTTGCAGTATGTAACTGTCTGCACCGCCCACGGACACCTACAGCACATTTATTAGAAACCCCAAACCCACTGCCATTGAGTCCACTCCTACTCCTCACCGCCGCCGTAGAAGGGCTTCCCAAGGCTGCGAGTCTTTACAGGAGCAGACAGCCTCCTGGCCCACTGAGAGCTGCCCTTCATTGAAGAAGGAAGGGGTGTGCTCTCCCCAACGAAGAAACTCTAGGCTTTGCCTACATCCTTCCTGATCCCGATCCCGAGTTAACACTGTTTATCCTCATCCTGAGTTGTACCCTTTGCTTCCTTTAAAAATTGCTTAACTGTACATATGGTTGGTGAGTTCTGTGTGACCGTTGCAATGGATTATCAAACCCAGCAGACTAGTTAGGGACTGCTCCTGGAGGGGTGGCTGGTCTCAGAATTGGTAAAAAGTTAGGACAGTAGAGAGATGTCTACTCACCACTCCATACGGATCAGCTTTGGCCTGCTCCTGGTCCTGGTCCACCCTGAGGTTCAACAAATGACAACACTACTACTACTATCATTTTACAGGATGATAATAGTATTGTGGTTATATGAGAAAATATCCATGTGTTTTAGAAACAATCAAGTATTTCGAAGTGAACTATCATGGCATCTCAGACTTGCTTTAAAAGAATCAAAACAAACAAACAAACAAACAACCCACTGAGTTGATTCCAACTCATAGCAACCATATCTAGCAGTGGCTCCCAGCCTTTCTAATGCCACAACCCTTCAATACGGTTCCTCATGTTGTAGTGACCCCCAACCATAAAATTATTTTCTTTTTTTTCTTTCTTTTTTTTTGTATCCAAAATGGGTTTATTAGAATGGCTTTCCACTCATCTCGATTCAGGGTCTTTTAGTGCTGCTTCCGTCTGAAGGAGCATCCTTCTGTGAGCCTTGCTTTTCCTCCTGTAGACTGACAGAGAACAGTGGATTAGCCAACACATAAAACGACTGTTTGTGCCTGGCTGAAGACCGTGGTGATGTTATAGCAGCCTGGGCATTTGACATCCGTGAAGTAGGAATCGGGGCTCTGCACCAGGTGCTTCTTCCTGTGTTTTCTCTTCTCCTCTTCGGGAGAGGGATGGAGGAGATCATTTGCGAAAGGCATGATCGCTGGGCGGTCGTCAGCGCCGGAAAAGCTCTTTTTTTTTTTTAAGTTGGATATTTTTTTATACTGCCTTTTAATTATTTTTAAAATCACTTTATTAGGGGCTCATACAACTCTTATCACAATCCATACATATATCAATTGTGTAAAGTACATTTATACATTCATTGCCCTCATCATTCTCAAAACATTTGCTGTCCACGTAAGCCCTGGCAACAGCTCCTCATTTCCCCCCCCGTCCCTCCCCACTCCCCCCTCCCTCATGACCCTTTCATAATTTATAAATTATTATTTTGTCATACCTTATACTGTCCGACATCCCCCTTCACCCACTTTTCTATTGTCCGTCCACCAGAGAGGAGGTTATATGTAGATCCTTGTAATCAGTTCCACCTTTCCACCCTACCCTCCCTCCACCCTTCCGGTATCGCCACTCACACCACTGGTCCCGAAGGGATCATCCACCCTGGATTCCCTTTGTTTCCAGTTCCTATCTGTACCAGTGTATATCCTCTGGTCTAGCCATATTTGTATGGTAGAATTGGGATCATGATAGTGGGGGAGAGGAAGCATTTAGGAACTAGAGGACAGTTGTATGTTTCATCATTGCTACACTGGATCCTGACTTGCTCGTCTCTTCTCCGCTACTCTTCCATGAGGGGATGTCCAATTGCCTACAAATGGGCTTTGGGTCTCCACTCGCACTCCCCCTCATTCACAATGATATGATTTTTTGTTCTGATAATGCCTGATACCTGATCCCATAGACACCTCATGATTGCACAGGCTGGTGTGCTGCTTCCATGTGGGTTTTATTGCTTCTTAGCTAGATGGCTGCTTGTTTACCTTCAAGCCTTTAAGACCCCAGATGCTATAGTTTTTGATAGCCGGGCATCAGCTTTCTTCACCATATTTGTTTATGCACCCACTTTGTCTTCAGTGGTCGTGTCAGGAAGGTGAGCATCATAGAATGCCAATTTAATAGAACAAAGTATTCTTGCATTGAGGGAATACTTGAGTAGAAGCCCAATGTCCATCTGCTACCTTAATACTAAACCTATACATATGTGCACATAGATCTATTTCCTCATTCTCATATATAAATATATTTACATATGCACATGCCTTTATTTAGATCTCTATATATGCCCTTTGCCTCCTAGCTCTTTCCTCTATTTCCTTTGACTTTCCTCTTGTCCCACTATCATGTTCAGTCTTCATTTGGGTTTCAGTAATTCCTCTCAGTTACATTACCCTTGTTCATGCCCTACCAGGCCTCTTATACCCTCCTCACCATCGATTTGGATCACTTGTTGTTCCCTTGTCCCTGGGTTTGTTAACACCACTTCCTTTCCCCCCACCTCCCCCTCTCCCATATCCCCCCGGAACCGTCAGTCCCAATGTTTTCTCCTCCAGATTGTTCATCTAGCCTATCTTATTTGGACAGACCTGCAGAGATAATAACATGCACAAAAACAAGACAGAACAAAGCCAAGCAACAAAAGAAAACAAAACAACAATAATAAGCCAATGACAAAGAACAAAACAAAAACACAACAACAAGAAAGAAAAGCTTGCAGTTAGTTCAAGGACTGTTTGTTGGCCTTTAGGAGTGTTTTCCAGTCGAGTCTGATGGGGCACCAAGCCCTGGCCCCAAAGTCTGTTTTTGATATTCCCTGGGGACTTCATTGCTCTGTTTCTCTTGCTGTTCTGTTGCACGCCCTTAGTTTTTTGCCTCGGTGTGGTGGGATCAGATCGGGCACATAAAATTATTTTTGTTGCTACTTCATCACTGTCATTTTGCTACTGTCCTGAATCGGGTGACCCCTGTGAAGGAGTTGTACAACCACCAAAGGGGTTGTCACCCCAGGTTGAGAACCACTGATATCTAGAGTTTCCTAGGGTTGAATCCATGACCTGACAGCACCACCAGGACCAGTTACTTATTATTATATCCATTCACTATTTCACATCGCCAAAAGAATGTTGGATGTACAATAAAAACTCTGGAAGCTGGCAACTTGTCAGAGATGGAAAACGCAAATATTTTCCACTAAGCAATAGAAAGGTGGTCAAATACAGCCCATCAAAGGCGCAAAATTCCTGAGACCTGGAAACCCAGGCTTTCCTGTCGTTCTTGCCCTCATGGGTTTCACAGTAATTCCTACGTGACCAAATGAGCTTGTCTCCCCTGCCACTATGTAAGTAGAGGCTTTTAAAACCCAGATGCCAGAAAGGATCGCTCCGTGGGGCACCAAGCCACACAGTGTCAGCGTGAAAAACTCACTGAAGAAGCGGCACCAGGTGTCCCCCGGTGCGGAGGGATGGGGCCTCACAGGCCTGCAGTTACTGTGTGTGGCTTCATCCTTGACAAAGATTTTCACATTCTACCTGCTGCTTCCTTTCCGCCTTTAACTTGTTTTGACATTTCCCCTTCTTATGCTCACTAGGAAGTCCAGGTGGTGTATGACGAAAGCACTTAGCTGCTAACTAGAAGGTCCACAGTTCAAACCTATCACCTGCTCACAGGGAAGAAGATGTGGCTTCTTTAGGATTGACAGCCTTGGAAACCGTCCGGGCAGTTGCTATGAATTGGAATCGACCTGATAGCAATGGGTTATTCTCTATGTGTGTGTGTGTACCCATTAGAGATACTGTACAGCTCATAGTTTATCTGTCATGCTTTTTATATCTTCTGTCTTTATTTTTATATCAGATTTTACCTCTAAAACACTCATAATTCCTTTAACCCTGGTCTTAACTATGGTTTATCAGCTGCCATGTTTTGCTGAACATAAATTTCAGCAGCAATCCTGCATTTTCAACCCTTAACTCTTTTCTGTTAAATTTGTGTTTTAGATCTAAGACACACCGAGGGGCAGCTTCAGAATGAAGAAATTGTGGTAAGTACTTGTGTTTTGTAGAGCTGCACGTTATCTTTAACCAGCACTGTGTAGTGAAATCTTAATCATATCTCCACAGTCACAGAGTCAGTGATATGCTAATACAGTGTTGTGATATTGTAAATCCTGTCCCTAATCAACTCAGAGAGAATATTATTCTCATTAATAACAGAATCCAAATGTGATATTCATAAGTTAGGTTCTTCTGTGTCCTGGAATGACAGCCTGGAGAATGCAATACTCGCTCCTTTTTTTCTGTTTGTTTATTTTGAAGTATGTATTTGCTTTGCCTTTCTTTCATTTGACTCTTGATTCTGTGGGCCGTTTAGAATAGGAATCAGACAAGGTGCCGATGCCAAAACGGGATGTTAATTGAAGCATGAAAGGACAAGAGAGACTCAAATAAGGGAACTGGAGCATGGGATCAGCCACAAATCAGCCAGAGAGAGAGGAGGTGGAAAGAGAGCCAGTCCTTTCTGAGAACATTCCATTGGGCTTTGTCTGCCAAGCGGCATGAATGTCTTTTGACCAGGAAGCTGCGGCCTCATCAGGAGTTCCTGTTTCTGCTAGTTTGCCAGGCCCCTGTGGTTACACAAAAACAAACAAAAATGTAAAACAATTCAATGTGAATATATTAGGTGGTATTGTTGATTGAAGGTTTCCCTGGATAAAGGTTAAAATGAGGACCCCTGGTCCATTAAGTTTCCGGCACAATTTGCAGGGAGCTGCCACAGCATCCAAGTTTGAAAACATTCTGTAGGGACTTTTTGAATCCCTTCTTCCTCCTGGCCACCAAAATGTGCCCAATGACTAGGAGGCCAGTGGGGAAAGAGAAGCAGAAAAGGCATGAATTGAGCTAACATGTCTCTCCTTCTTTACCGACTGGGTTATGCGAGTCGAGCGATCCCGGGAGCCCCTCCTTTCTCGCGCTGTGAGCACTCACTGTGGCTCGGTGTTCTTGAAGAGGAGGAGTCCCTGCCGTTTCAGTCCTGCCACAAACAGCCCCCTCTTCTAGTCCTCCACCCTGAGCCTCCCAGAGTCATCACCAGAGTGCCTGCAGCGCTGTTTGCTTCTGCTACCCAATACTGTAGAATAAGCTTTGTCAGTATCATCTTTAAGAATATTTTATTGAGAGCTCTTAGGGCTCTTGTAGCAATCCATACATCAATTGTGTTGAGCACATTTGTACATAAGTTGCCATCATTATTTTCTAGACATTTACTTTCTATTAAGCCCTCGGTGTTAGCTCCTCTTCCCCGCTCCCTCTCTCTTCCCCACTCCACGCTCGTGGCCCCTTGATAAATTATAAATTATTATTATTTTCATATCTTACACCGACTTTTGTTTCCCTTCCCCCACGATTTCTGTTGTTCGTTGGGGGCTAGGGATGGGTGATGTGTGCGGTTATGTGTCAATCATTGCGATCGGTTTCCCCTTCCTCCTCTCCTTTCCCCACCTTCCCCTTCCCCTTCTGGTATCGCTATTCCCATTTCTATTCCTGGATTCCATGTGTCATGAGCTCTTATCTGTACCTGTGCACATGCTCCGGTCTAGCTCACAGTGAAAGGGCTATGATAGTGAGGGGGTGAGGAAGCCTCAAGGAACCAGAGGAGTATTGTGTTTCATTGGTGTTTTACTGCGCCCTGATTGACTCATCCCTTCCCTGGGACCCCTCTGTGAGGGAATGTCCCATTGTCTACAGATGGGCTTTGGGTCTCTGCTCCAACCCCCCTCATTCTCAACAATATAGTTTTTGTTTGTTTGTTTGGGTTCTCCTGATGCCTGTTAACCAGTCCTCTCAACACCTCATGATCACACAGGCTGGTGTGCTTCTTCCATGTGGACTTGTTGCTTCTCTGCTAGATGGCCGCTTGTTTAACTTCAAGCCTTTAAGACCACAGACACTATATCTTTTGCTAGCCTGGCACCATCTGTTTTCTTCACCACATTTGTCTTCAGGGATTGTGCGGGGTGAACATCACAGAATGCCAGGTTGTTAGAACAAAGTGTTCTTGCATTTAGGGAGGTCATACCAGAGGTCTGAAGTCTGCCCACAACCTCAGTGTATTGCCACATAAATATATGTACATGAGCCAATACCTCTTGTTATGAATTAGTATCCATAGCTTTGCTTCCTAGATCGTTCCTCTGTTTCCTTTCACCTTCCTCCTGCCCCACCATCACACTCGCCCTACTTCTGCCTCTCAGTAATTCTTCTCAGCTAGTTGGCTGTTGCTCCCCAAGATCTCTACATCCACTTTGTTGTGATTGTAATTCCCTAGTTGTTCCCCTATCTTTGGCATGGTTTGCTCACCGCTTCCTTCCCCCACACCCTTCTTCCCTCCACCACCACCCCCATCCACCACCACCGAGTCCCTCCAGGACCATAGGTCCCATTGGTTTCTCCTCTAGCTGCTTCCCATGCCTGTCTTATATAAGTAGGCAACCCAACAATAACAGAGACCAAAGAAAAAGAAAACAAACGATTGAAAAAAGAAAGGAAAAAACAAGACATAATTCCAGGTCTGTCCACCGACCTTTATGACTGTCTCTCCACTGGGCCTGGGGGAATTCCTGGAGCTGCCCCTCCTAGCCCAAAGTCTATTTGGGGGACTCTTCAGGAACTTTGTGTCTTCTCTTTGCTCCGGTTGCTCTTCTGCTTTGTTCCCTTCTTGTTTTGCCCCTCTGCGGAGGGGGGGGGGGGGTCAGTCCAGGACTGACTCCCCGCACGTGTGTCCCCAGTATTGGCCTCTGCCTCAGGAGGCTCCAGTGAGGGGAAACCATGTCTGGAGCTGTTGTCGGCCCTACTGTCCTCCATGTGGCTCAGCAGCTCCATGCAGGGACGTCGTCTCCAGGCTTGGTGTGTTGATATGGGGTCTAGACCCTCCCTCTCTCGTTTTCCTTATTGGTTTGCTTCTGTGTGGGCGTGGCAGGCTGGACCCTCTCCCCACCCTGTAGGTTTAGTGTTGTCCTCTGTAGCACATGCTTCTAGGGAGGGGTCGGTTGGGCTCTGATTGGGGCCGGCCCTGTAACCCACTATGAGCATGTGTTGCTCCATGTGGTTACGTTGCCCTCAAGGAGGGACATGGTGGGGTCTGCATGCTCACTCCCAATTCTGTGGATACATAACCAATACTCTCTCCCTGGTGGGTTAGTGTCCTACTCCCCACCCCATGCCATCATCTCACTTTTTGGGGGGCAATTATAATTTTAAAATAATGTCTGTCTACTCATTTTAAGCTAATTGTGCTGGACCCCCTTCTCCCCATCCCCACCCTTTCCCCCCTGCCCCCAGTCATGATAAGTATATTGCAGTGGACATTTTATGTATATCTTCCTACACCACGGTCATCACCTTCATCTCCTTGTCGTCTAAGAGTCCATGCCAAGGGGATTTACAGCTCTCGGTGCATGTTACCCAATTACTTTCCAGAGTAAGTACATCCATGTAAAGAGCAACCATGTTTCAGAGTAGTGTATTGTGAAGCATCATTAGCCAAAGGAAACCTATCACTAGAAAAGACACTTTTACAAAGTTGATCAGCATGTAGAGTTGGAGATTTTCAGTTTTACCTGCTGGTTTTTATCAAACTAAGGTTGTTGAATGTGGCTGGCTTTCTTCTCTGAATATTATATTTTATATGTACTTATAAGTTTAGAATATCACTTACATCAATCCACTTTATTCTATTAGGTGCTTATGAACAGTTAGACAGGACTACTGACCGCATTCGTGTTGGTTTTTCTCCTACAGGGACGTGATGATCATGCCACATACCTGAGATTCATTATTGTATCCGCGTTTGATCACTTTGCATCTGTGCATGGTGTTTCTGCAGAGGGAATAGTAGTCTCAAACCTTCATTAGTAATTCTAAAATAGTACTCTTGCATGAGTTTTATATTCACATATTTATTTTAACATGAAGTTGTCACTGAAGTTCTTTATTAAAAGGATTTGTATCAATCTGTTTCAGTTATTTACTTTCTTGGTATTATTTAATGTAAAGAGACTTCTGGTTTCAACAGCCAACAGTGTTGACCACCATGAAGGACAGAAGGAAGGTCTTGCTTCAGTCTATGATAGAGATGAGGAACCTTTTTTCTGACAAGCACCATTTGAATATTTGCAATATTCACCATCCTCACAAAATTATCAACTTAAAAATTAGCCTGCTGTATTTAGTCAAACATTAAATTAATTTACCGCTAATGTGATGGCTAGGACTTCTCTTTGGTGAGGAGGATGATAGCTGGTATGTTAGGTGGGGTTCTCTAGAGAAACAAAACCAGGACACTTGTGATAGATAGATAGATAGATAGATAGATAGATAGATAGATAGATAGATAGATAGGTAAGATAGATAGATAGATTTATACAGCACAAAGGAATGTCACAGCTAATTAGTCCACACAGCTGTACAGAGGTCTCAGTTCAACTCACAGAGGTTGCTTGGTCCAAGGTCAAGGAAGCAGACAGCTGAGTCTTCCTCTGGGAAATGCGGGCAGTCTGCCCACAGGTAGCAAAGAACGGGGTTGGTCACCAACAGTCAACTGCTCAGGGGCTTATTGAAGCAGGCCTAGCTGGGATATCGAACTCAAGCAATGCAAGATGACAGAGTCCACTGGCCTCAAGCTCAAACAATGTACAATGTTCTCAAAGGAACCTTAAGCCCTAGTGACATGATCCACAAGTTGGCTGTCCCATAGGTAGTGTAGCTCACAAGTTGAAGCAGAGAACTAGCTAAAGCAGCCACATGCTGGTCTGATCACCAGAGAGCAAGAGAGACAGGGATGGGCCTTACCGAGTGTGTTAGTCCAGGTAGACTAGAGGAACAAATTCATAGACACTCATATGTATATAGGAAAGAGCTTTATATACAAGAGCAATTGAATATTGAGAAAACATCCCAGCTCAGTTGAGATCAGTCCATAAGTCTGATATTAGCCCATATGTCCAATATCAATCTTTAAATTCCTCTTCAGACTCACGAAACCCATTCAATGATGCCAAATGCAGGACAATCACACGCCAGTGGGTGTAAAACCTTGTGGATCCAGTGGCAGTGGAAGCGGCTCAGCACTGGTAAGGGTTTCCACATAGCTCCTCCAGCTCCCAGGGCTCTGGGTGCATCCGGGTAGCTCCTTATGGCTTCTTGTCAGGAATGTCACAGGGAGTGAGTGAGTGAATGAGTGTCGCACTTCCAGAAAGCTATTTATTTCCTTATCATCTCCCAAATGAGGTCATCAAGCTATGACCTGATTGACAGGTAAACAACCCCCCTTCACTTGTGAGTTAGTTAATTGTGCCAACGTGGCCGATAAACACATGTGGGGTTAATTGAAGAGCAGAGGGATAAATGGCTTGGTGAGCCTCGCCTTTATAGTTCTTGGGTCTCTTGGTTTGTGGTCGCACCAGGGTGCAGCTGTCTTAGCAGTTCCCTGCTTCCGCTTGCAAGGCTCACTTCCTGCAAGACATCCCCAAGGAGAAGCCACATGGACCTACCCCGATGCAGCCCTGAATGCTGGAGCAGCCATGTGGAGACCTCTGCCAGCGCTGAGATGCTTACACATTCACTGACTCGGCTTTCCTCCTGCAGTCATCATTGTGGACTCTGTTTTGTGAGATGGACGAGGACTTTGTGGACTGGTGTTGGACATATGGGTTAACGGGTTAATGTTGGACTTGTGGGCTTGGGCAGCACTGGGTTGGGATATTTTCTTGGTGTGCACTTAACCTTTACATAAAACTCTCTTATACATGAGTTAATGTGGATTTGTTTCTCCAAAGTACCCAGATTCATACAACTTGTAAGTCTTATTGACAACAAATTATGTAACTACCACGCCGAGCCATTTATCTCTTTGCCCTCCAATCAAACTGTGACCTTATTAATCCCCCATGCTCCTATTGGCCAGGTTGGCACACTAAACCCACCTGTCACAGTTGGTATTGATGATTTCAAGGGCCTTATAAAGTCTGGGGCCAGACATTCCCCACCACTGGTCTATATGTACAGCTTAATCAAGGAGGTCACAATAGATGTGCACATTTAACTGGGAATAGATTATGTCACCACAGCATCTAATATGGTGTGCATTATTGTTCAGTGCATTATTTTTCAAATTTTATTGACTGATTGACAGTAAACAGTATAAGTGTTCAGAGAAGAGAAAGTACTTATAAGAAGATTTTATTGATGTTAAGAAATTTTAGCTGGTCCCTGTAGGGCAAGTAGTTAAAATGTCTCTTTAGTTTTGTTTTATTCTAATTTGAAAACTTCAGAGAAGAATTAAGAAACATGTAATCTTACTTCCCAGAGACAACCATCTTTAATATTTGGGGCATATTTCATAAACGACTATGATATCTACCATTGATCATTTATTACTATCAGCATTTTACATGATTGCTCTTTTTTGGATCTTTACAACCACCCCTGTGGTTAAAAACTGTTGCTGTTAACATTTTGCATATAAAAGAATTCATATTTAGAGGAATTAAGTATCTTTCCCAGGGTCATACATCTAGTAGGTGGCAGGGCCAGAATTTAGACTCTGTGATGCCTAGTTGTAGAACCTGACGATGCCAGCTGATTGTCTCCTACTGCTGTCTGTCTTAATCCTGGGTCCACTAGGACTCCAAGCAGGGCACCTTCCTACTCTGAGCCTCGGACCCCTTGATAGGAAATGAGGAGAATGGAGTGGGGATCAGGAGTCCATGGTCTGGAACCTGTGGGGTCAGGGAGTTGGGGAGAGGTTGTGGGGGATGGGGCAGGCTCCCAGTCCAGTTCCCCACCCACCCGACCCTGCATTGCCACCCCAAGTCCTAGCAGTTTGACCAGGCAATCCAACTTCAAGAAAGCTCTTGGTGCCCGGTGAACTGGAGACACCTGGCATGCACCCTCCCCACCACCAAGATTCGCAAATTGAAGGTCAGCGCCGCTGAACGGTGGTGAAGGAGGAGCCAAAGAGGAGACCAGAAACGTTCTCAGCGAAACCTGCACCCACAGAAGTGGAGACAAGGCCATAAAAGTCGGCAGGAAAGGATACATCCTCAGACAGAAAGGTGCAGGCAAAGGGGAAAGCAGCCTGAAGTAGCTCACCCAGAAACTAATGATCTACCCAAAAAGGAGAAACAAAAAGCAAGGACAGTCCAGCCTCTGATGAAGCAGGAGGAAAAGACGTCAAGCCTGGTGATGGTTTATCTACCGTGTCTTATCAGGGGGCCCTGTTAGCTCCCTTCTTGTACAATCCAGAGGAGTATTTTTTAGCAACGTTTTGTAAATGCAGGGTTTTAGAGCTCTGGAAACATTACAAAGGCCCACTTCATCCCATTTTTTCTTAAGTGTAAATGTTTTTCTTAAGACATGAAATCATTTAACAGTTGTTTCATTTTTGGTACAACCAGAAAATGGTGAGATGTTGACTTTTTCACAATATTTGACTGTCTTGGGTGTCAATATAACATTCCATGGCATGGGGAGAAGTTTTTGTATCCCTAATACAAAACATACTTAGTGGCAATTGGTAGTCACTATCATGCATTTGTATGACTTAAACATGTAAAATTTTGTGTTCCTGTTGTTTTCAAACAGGATTGTGTGTGAGAACCGTCTGTAATCCTGGCTTTCTTGCTAGAACTGTGCGTTCTGTAACGCCTTTGGTCGTGGTGATCAGTCTTCCTGATGACGTTGTTATGTGCTGTGAAGAGTTGAACATTTGAGTGTGTAGTGTGTGTGACATTAAATTGTGGATTACTGGGACTTAAGATGTAACAGCTTATCAACATTTGAAGATAATGGTACTTGATGACCTCTTTTGAAAAATTGCCTCCAGGCCCATTGGTAGACAATTGGACATCCCCTCACAGAAGGGTCACAATGAAGGAAAGAGTCAGCCAGGGTGCAGTATAGCACCAACAAAAAACACAACATTCTTCTAGTTCTTTGATGCTTCCTGGCCCCCTTTTATCATGACCTAGTTCTACTGTACAAATCCAGCTAGACTGGAGCATGTACATTGGTACAGATAAGAGCTCTCGACACTCAGAATCCAGGACAAATAAACCTCTCAAGAACAATGATAGGAATAGCGATTTCATGAGGGTAGGAGGGAAAAGGGGAAGAAAAGGGGAACCTATCGCAATGATCAGCATATAACTGCCCTCCCCACAGGGACAAACAACAGAAACATGGATGAAGGGAGACAATGGAAGGTGTGAGATATGAAAATAACAATTAGCCCTTGGAGTCTAGATGGCATCCAGGTAGAATCACCTGTCCAGCACTCCTGCTGTTAGACTAGAAAATTAAGAGGTAAGGAGGCAAATACTGGGAGGCTGAGTTCTAAAAATAGATTCAGTATACTAGGGCCTGGTTCAGACCTCCCCTTTTGATTTTCACCCATGAAGTGATTCTAGAACTTGCTGAAACACTCTTAAGTTCACTGTGTCTATCTCCGGAATCCGCTAACCCCTTGCCAGGTATAGCAGGATGGTGTCTGCCACCCTTCCTGTGTCCTGGACTTGCAGCGAGCAGTAATTCCTGCAGACTTCTATCTAAAAGTTTTCACAATCCCGGGCTCACAGAGACCCTCTGAGAGCTAGCTACAAGATCTCACACCAGAGTTCCCCTCACCAGCACCTGCAGTCTAGGGCTTTGCAACTCCCCTCCCCAGCCAGGAGCGGAGTGACTGCATAGGCCATCCCCGTTCCGCCTCTCCCCAGCTCCATGCCGGCTAGCGTGGGCAACGATAGATAATTAGACAATAATTTGCAGCAATTGAAGAGCCACTGGGATATTTACCTCTAACACAGTGCAGTTCCCCAGAGCACAACCGAATAGAGCTGGAAGTGACGCAGGAGTGCGGCTAGGGGTGAATTCAGATCCAGCTGGCCACAAACCCACTCTGCTAAGCTGGTCCCCCTTCTCTGGGGGACAACTGTGGCACAGCCCGATACCAGGG